AAATTCCTAATTGAGGTGACACTTTTCAAAACAGATTCAAACTGAGTCTGAGCTTTTTTGAAGTGAGTTCAAATCTTCGAATAAGTCATCAACATTTTTCTAACTGAGTCTACACTTTTCTGTTATGTTATTCAATCCTTTTTTAAAGTTGTCAAAGGGATCCAACATATCCCGAACCCAAGCTTTAAAGAATTGGTTTCGCATTTTCTGGTGTGAGGCTACATTAGCTGACTTAATCTCTTTCCTAAATGAATCCAAGGTTTCCTGCATTGATTCAACTTTTTCCGAACTGAATCCAAACTTGTCAGAACGGATTTGACATTTTCATTAGTGAGCTCCAGATTTTTGTTAACTGCTTAAGCATTTGGCAAGGACACACTCGCTTTCCCAAAAGTGTAGAAAGTTTTCCGAAGTGAACCGACACTTTTTTTAAGCTTAAATTTTCCAAACGGAGTCCAACCTTTTCTGAACCGGTTCAATACCTTCCTTAAATAGTCAAAACTTTTCTGTTGAGTGATTGAATTGTATTTAATGTTAGTCTGAGCTTTCGTGAAGGAATTTAACTAACTTTTAACGTAGATTCCGCTCAACTAGACTCCTTCCCCGTTCTTGTGAGATTCACATCCTTTGAACATTAGGCTGTGATTTTAAAGAGTTGACCTTCGTGTGTTCATACCTGATGGTAGATTTTTTTTAAGCAAGCACAATTGTTGAGAAAACTGGGTTTACATCCACAAAAGTACTTATTTTTATAGATATTTGAGTTTCTTGATCAGTCAAGTTGGATTTTGGGTCCGTACTTTGAAAAACAGGCTTGGTTTTTATAGAATAGACCTTTGTTTGTTCATACGTGATGGTAGATTTCGGTTCAATCGATTGAAATTTGTGGTTGGATTTTATACAATGGAACTTGCTGAATCCATACGAGAAGGACTAACCTGGTTAAGATTAACAAAAGTAGGTATTTTTATCAGTGATGCAAAATATAATGACACTCACGTGACACTCGTCTTCGCATCAACCGACTATCGCTGATAGATCGTTTTGTCACGCAGTGAGAGTTAGAGCTATGGCAAACAACAATCACCAGTAATGGTCGCTGCTCACAAGCAAAACGTTACACTCGCTGCTGATAATGTAAAGCACAACGAAAACAGTGAAGACTTCTGCAGTACGATCATGAGAAAAAGCGAAACGACAGAAGAAAATGAAAACAATACCTACACATTCCAAGTTCGTCTCGGCAGGCGCGTGTGTGTGAGTTACAAACAAAGCAGGCAACATTAAACGGAAGCTGTTGGGCTCACTTACCAACATACTCACATAAGCAAGCAAAGCAGATACTGATTCAAAACGTGCACAGATGAGTGTCGTGATTGTCAGGAATGACCAGATCGGTGATGGATCACAACAGGAGACGACATTCACCAGTTGCTTTTTACTTCTTTCGTCAACTTGATGGATGGTCATGGAGAAAGCATCGACGAGCACATTTATAGGAATGTACAAAGCGTTACTACCATCAGCTGTTTGATGATGGTGATTGTGATAGGTCGCAACTCTGATTTTTATAAAAAATTGATTTTTCTGTTTTGCCGAACTGAATTTTGGCTCCTATCTTTAAAAAAATAGGCTTGTATTTTATAGAATGGAACTTGCAGAATCCATAAGCGAGGGTTGAATTTCTCATTTTTTGAGAAAACCGAGCTTAAATTCACTAAAGTACGTTTTTTCATAGAAGCTTTGATTTTCTGTTCTGCCAAGTTGAATTTTGGATCCGATTTTTGAAAATAAGACTTGGATTTTGTAGAATGGATCTTGCTGAATCGTATGTCAGGGTTGAATTCTTGAATTTTTATGAAAACCGAGTTTAAATTCACAAAAAATACGTATTTTGATGAAAGTTCGGGTTTCCTGTTCAGCCAAGTTAGATTTTGGATCCGTCCTTTGAAAAATAGACTTAGCTTTTATAGAATGGATCTTGCTGAATCCATACGTGATGGTACATTTTTTGAAGCATGCACAATTTTTTAGGATACTTGGTTTGAATTGTCAAAAGTACGTATTTTCATAGAAATTTGGGTTTCCTGTTCAGCCAAGTTGAATTTCGGCTCCTTCCTTTGAAAAATAGGCGTTTATTTTATAGAATTGCTGTATCTATGCGTATTTTCATAGAAAATTGGTTTTTTCGTTCTGCCAAATTGCATTTCGTCTCATATTTTTGAAAAATAAGCTTGTATTGTATTGAATGGACCTTGCTGAATCCATGCGCGAAGGACGAACCGGCTTAATATTCACAAAAGTACGTAAAGGGTGATACGCTCAAAATTTGGTCAATATCAACTTGACGTATTTCTTTCAATTTTGCATTTAAAAAACCTGAACACCCCTCATTTTGAAGGTGTGTGTGTGTAGAATGTTGTTCCTATTTTGATTTTGGAATTCACTCTTCAGTTGTCAAAATGCCGTCCAAGCAAGAAGAGCAGCGTATCAAAATTTTGCTCGCGCATCGCGAAAATCCGAGCTACTCGCACGCAAAGTTGGCAAAATCGCTAAAAGTTGCCAAATCAACCGTTACAAATGTAATTAAAGTGTTTGGGGAACGTTTGTCGACAGCCAGGAAGTCTGGATCGGGGGGAAATCGAAAACCGGAAGCCGCTGAGACGACAAATAGAGTTTCCGGTAGTTTCAAGCGAAACCCTAACCTCTCTCTCCGAGATGCCGCAAATAAGCTGGGTGTATCGTCTACAACCGTGCATCGAGCCAAAAAACGAGCCGGACTATCGACTTACAAGAAGGTAGTGACTCCAAATCACGATGATAAACAAAATACGACGGCCAAAGCGCGATCCCGGAGGCTGTACACGACGATGCTGACGAAGTTTGACTGCGTGGTAATGGACGACGAAACCTACGTCAAAGCCGACTACAAGCAGCTTCCGGGACAGGAGTTTTATACGGCAAAAGGAAGGGGAAAGGTAGCAGATGTTTTCAAGCACATGAAACTGTCAAAGTTCGCAAAGAAATATCTGGTTTGGCAAGCCATCTGTACCTGTGGCTTGAAAAGCAGCATTTTCATAGCTTCCGGGACTGTCAACCAAGAAATTTACGTGAAAGAGTGTTTGAATAAACGTCTGCTGCCTTTCCTGAAGAAACACGGTTGTTCCGTACTGTTTTGGCCGGATTTGGCATCTTGCCATTACGGTAAAAAGGCCATGGAGTGGTACGCCGCCAATAACGTGCAGGTGGTTCCCAAGGACAAGAACCCTCCCAATACGCCAGAGCTCCGCCCAATTGAGAAATACTGGGCTATTGTCAAGCGGAACCTAAAGAAGACCAAAAAAACTGCTAAGGGCGAGCAGCAGTTCAAGGCAAACTGGCTTTCTGCGGCGAAGAAGGTGGACAAGGTGGCTGTACAAAATCTGATGGCAGGGGTCAAGCGTAAGGCCCGGCAATTCGGATTTGGAAAAGCGGAAGCCTAACTGAATATTTTTCCTGAATTTTATACTAATTGAAGTTGCAAAAGAAATTTAATTTGATTTTTTAAATAAACGATTTCACCGATTTACACGCGTTTTCCCTTGACCAAATTTTGACCGTATCACCCTTTATTTTCATAGAACATTGATTTTTCTGTTCCGCCGAACTGAATTGATGAATTTACGTGACGGTCGACCAGCACATGGAAATGATGTGAAAAATGATAACGACGTTTTGCTACCTATCGAATCGTATGGAATATTTTTTAGTACATCATCAGTTTTGTAATTACAAGTCTGAAAACTAGGTGTCACATGGCCAGTTTTACTTTTGCTTAAATTCATCAATGTTGGCTCCTATCTTTGAAAAATTGGCTTTTATATTATAGAATGGATCTTGCTAAATCCAATATTGAATTGAGCAACATAAAAAACAACTCGTAGTTGTTAGTCAATAATGCGGTCGTGATTCGGACACAACCCTTAAGATTTTTTCATCACACATTTTGATAAGCTCAAATGCGCTTATTTGAACAGTTGGGAAATGCGCAATATTACTCATACAATTCTGGAGGATTATTGGAACATCCTAAAATTCCTATGTATTTAATTGAAGAATCAAAGTGACGATTGACTCACAGGTGGCGAGTGGGTGAAAATGGTAACGACGTTTTGATATCTGTCAAATTGCATAACATTGTTTTAGTACATCATCATTTTTGTAATCAGTGTTCACTCGGCTGTCGACAAAAGCAGGCCACTCTCGATGTGTGCCACGCGATCGTCTGTTTTCTCGGCAGCAACCATTGTGTGGTCCTCCTCATTGTTCATAATCAGCAGTTCTTTCGGTCGATGCGTCGTTGACTTTGGAAAGCAAACGTTTAGTGATGTGTGTGTGAGTGCTGACCACGTTTTGCGTCCATTGCTGCAATGGAAGCGCTCTGACCCCAGTTGGCGTAACTGCCATACAATGAAACCGCTGGAAGCGGCTCCAGTTCTGATGGAGGAGGCTTTTTGGATAGTGGAAGATAAAGTGAAGAATCCTCGGCTCTGTAAAGTTAATTCGTTTGAGCCTTATCAAATAAATTAATAAACAACCATCATTTTTGTAATTGCGGATCTTAAAACTAGGTGTCGGGTGACCAGTTTTGGCCTTGCTTTGATTCGCCAATACATTTCCAACACCATAATACAACCACCCTAGCCACCCATCGTCTTCGCATCGAGCAGACTTTTGGCAGCACCAGCAACAACAGTTTCCGCTCCGTTGCTCCCGTTTCAGCAGTAGTCGAACTCGGGAACGGGCACCCACCCTCTACCGTCTCTCTGCATTAGACCACCTCACATTGCACATCGATACACATCGCGTTCGCGGATATAAAGCAGTCCTCCTTCGCATCGCCAAAACTCAAGTCAGGCCAAGTTTGCCAAACACACGTCACGGACTCACTCACCAAAGTCAGCAAGCAAGCGAACACCCCAAAACGCGACGACGGTGACGGCGGTTTGTGTTTCGCTAGTCAGTCTCATCGTAGCACCCACCAAGAGTGGTCGTCACACTGCATAGTTCTGGGCCGTGGCCGCGGTCGTCGTCATTGCAAACAACGGTTTCGCGTGATTTGATATCGATACTTCTGCTGTGACATTGAACCCAATATAGCGTGATTGTTTGCCCATCATCAGCTGGCAGTAAACTAGAGAGCGATAGCGTGGTGAAATCGACCAGGTGAGATCGGGTGAAGTTGAGTGCAGTATCAATCCAATGGCAATAATGATAGCGATTAGTCGCCTCCTTGCCTTCGGTCGGTTATTGATAATTGTTTGGCGCTGATTGATCAAGCGACGACTGTCCCTGTGGTGTGGCCATCGCCTTTGTGAGCATTAAGGTATTGGTGACAGTCCGTGATGGAAGATTGGTGATAACTGTGTGTGATAGTTTTGTGCGACGACGTTTCTTCCGGCGATAAGTGGTCGTAGGGAAGATTGGGAGATTCTCACGTGTGCCGAACGATCTGAATTAGTCGAGTGCGGGTGTCCGTGCAGCGAAGGCGATATAGTTCGAGCAGTTTGAGCCAATTTCGGTTCGATTCAGCAAAAAGGTAGGTACCTTCGTCATCTTATGCAATATATTTGAACAACAGTAATCACGATGATGTCACTTTTCAATGCCAATGACACCCCGTGTCCCTTGGCACTTCTTATGGCCAGGAATCGAATTCAAGGCCTGTGTCGTTGAAAACCTGTGGAGCTTGAATCGAGGGGGCACTCGCCCGACTCAATAAAGTGTCGGCTGAGGTAAAACAACGCGGCAGCTGTATGGGAAGCTTGCCAATTCATTTCACCACCTCCGGTCACACGCTCTTCCTTCCTTCTGTTTGTATATAAATGTTTACTTTTGTAACATAAAACACTCGAAGAAATCGTGCGGCTCTCGCAGTTGCTTCATTTTTCAGCCGGCAAAAAGTGACCAATCGTATAAATCCTACATTTCTTGACATGGTTAAAGAAGACATGGAAACAGCAACAGGCGGCATTTGGGATAGGGTAGGGTACGCAGACAGAGACTGAGTGGAACATTATTACGTCATCGATGGACGAAAGCCGTTCGCAATAGCCGGTCACGCTTTTGTTTGCCAAAAAGTTGGTTGGTAGGGGAAATGCAGGTAATGTCGGCCTAAGTGTCCCTAATTTGGGCCCATACATAAATTCAGCAATCAACTAAGTTTTCAATAGCAACCACAAATATCCATTAGTAACGTCCCAATAACGCGTTCATCTAGATAAAATTGATAAATAGCAGACTTTTAGCGATGGGCCCAAATTAGGGACATGTAGGCCGACATTACCTACATTTCCCCTATATATATGTAGGTACCTATTCGCGCGTCGGTGCGGAGCAGCAGTCAGCTCGGTGCTAGTTAGCGGCGCCGGTGGTGTAGTGGTAGGCGTGATTACCTCTCACCCCAGCAGGCCTGGGTTCAATCCCCTTCGGAAGGGAAGTAAAGCCGTTGGTCTCCGGTTCATGAGTTGTGATGGGTCGATAGGTAGGGTCCAGGTGTGGGAGCTGCCTCCCTGGCGTCGAAAAACAAGATCGACGGAAAACAAAACAAGGAAAAAAATTCGGTGCTAGTTATAAAATTTGCTAAAATATGTGAATCACTTTCGCGCGAGGTGGGTGATTTTTTGATGTTATATTTTATGAGTGCGCGCTCTGCTTCGTGCTATCCGGATATGGACCATCGAGAAATTCGCATGTTCGTCGTTATGTAGGGTAATTTTGTTCGCTCACTTGAAGGAAGGAATTGGACACATTGATTTGCAGCAGGTGTGATTGTTATCGTTAATCGTAATTATAGCATTAAACACTTTGCTGAATTTCCCTTCAATTCGATTTCTGTTTGAAATGGATTTTCGAAAGATTCCAGAAGTGAGCATTTTTTATAAGGACCTAAGTTGCAAAGGTGAACACTGGCTTTATGTATGCCAACAATCCTACCGAATACAGATTTGGTTTATTTCACCGATGCCCGACAAATAAATTGCCGAGAATTCTTTATAAATATTAGTAAAAGTTTGGAATATCGAGCACGTGGCAATTATTAATTACATTCACCTGTCATTTACCGAGAGTCTAGCTTTAATTTTAGTGAAAACCTTAACATTATGAAGTCATGAAATTAAGTTGTATAAATACAATCAAGGAATCAAAAATATCTTCAAATGATATCTTCTTCCTTTATTTTCATGATAAGCAGCCCATGCGACACAGCTCACTCGGGGCGGTAGAAAGAAACGAGCAAATTGTTAGCAATCTACTTCACGAAGTAAAGTCGAAGATGATCTACGTGTGTTAATGGGAATTTTTTTGTTATGTCTTTTCTCGATTCAGATCAAGCTACAGCTTTCCCCCGAAGAACGCGTTACCCACTGAATTGCACCCACCGCTTTTTCTCGGCGGGGTTTCAACCAGTCGGTCTGAATTTTTGCAAGTGAGTAGGGTCAACGGAGAACTAGTCACTCGCAGAAAATCAGAGCGCTTGGTTGAAAACCCACCGAGACCTAGCGGTGGGTGCAACTCAGTGGGTAACGCGTTCTTCGGGGCAAAGCTGTCTTGTCTGTATCGTTCGTTGCTTTATGTGTTTGGATTCGCTAAATACAATGGAATGCAAAAAACAGCAATAACCGGTTATCTTCCATTTAATTCCATTTAATTATTTTTTGTATCCAACAGTTGAGTTGTTCAGATTTTCTTTCTTTACTTTTATTAATTCTTGGGTCATTAGTTAGATAGGTTCCGATTCTGCACGTGATCTTGGCATATTTACCTAGGGGATGAGTACTTAAGGGGTTAAGATTTGGATACGCCTTTAGTGGGATTGACACTGATGAAGACTGCATATTGGACTGCAATACTAGATACCAAAATTAAGTAAGTGCAATTAAATGGAAGGTAACGTGATTTTGCTGTTGTCTTAAAATTATACAAACAAAATAAAAGCATCGGTAAACCATTTATGGAAAATGGTTATGTGTTTGCCGACTATGGTTCAAATTGTTTATAAATTATGTGATACATACACCCAACCGAGGGATGTAAGATTCGCTTACAATTATGTGGGATTCATCATCAGAGGATGTTAGTGGAGACCGCATGAACCGAGGATGCGATATACCTAGCTGCGGTCCAATGCAAGAAAATTGGAGACCGAAAAATGTAGAGTGTATTAGTGAGGTAAATTAGCTATGTCGAAAAAAAGTAGAAGGGTCTGTGCCTAGGGGCACGAGCGGAAGCTTGACGTAGGACCGCTAGTGGCCGGAATAAATGTGAAGAGAATTTAGTTCTTTTAATTGATCAATTACCTATTATCTCAACTCTTCCTTTTTGAATTGTAGGCTTACCAAATTTGTAGTAATCTTTTTCAAAGAGAAAGTTGATTAAGACAATCAATCAAAATCACTTGCACCCCTGCTTCCAAGTTTGGTTACAAGATTACAACTCTGGAGAGCATTTTGTATGGTCGTTGGGGGCTTGTGGTTCTGAATATGGACAAACAAGCACAGATAAATTCTATTCCAACTCTTTACTGATGTAAGCTTGATGGCCCTGAAAAGGGCCGTTTTATTGAAGAGGACATCCATGGCCACCTACGCTTGGCGTGTTTAGTGTAGGTGACAGCATCACGGACCTCATTTTTCAGGAACACCTTCAGCACACCTCGTAAATCAGACCAGAGATACGTCAGACATCGCAACGGCGAGCCAGACGACGGATGGTGGTTATCTTGGAGAATTTGCGTTTGGTTCTGAATATGGCGATGAGTGTGCAAAATATTACGCAATTCCATCCTCCCTATTCGCACGCGCCCGAGGATCGGAGGCGAATGCCACTTCGACTTGTTTCGTCTACTTACTACTCTCTGACGACTGTGCTGGGGAAGCAGCATATGCAGGTAATATGTAGGTAATTGGTGGATTTGTTAGTTAATTCGACGCTTTTCAACAATGCTGGACATTTACCAGTTTTTCAATAGTTTCTTGTTTAAAATCAACATTCAGAAGCATTGTTATCGATGCGTAACCATATTTCTGATCGATTGGTGATAAAATTATTGAAATTGCACCAGGGGCAGCTGAGTTATTAACGTTCAAAATCTTTCTTAATTTGTTACATGTTCCATTTTCGGTTTTCACAAAGTATACCCCCATATAGAAATCAAAGACGTAGTCCTACGTCAAAATAGAAATCCGATTGCCGACTGGACTCGAACCAAGAACGCTTCGATTATCAGACCTGTGCTTTCTCCACTGCTCTCTCCATGCTCCTGAATATGGATAGCCTAAAAGCAAACATGAAGCGCTCATTTTCTCGCATACTCGACTTCGTATGCTTTTTCTGCTGGAGAGATTCGAGGCAAGTGTGTGCGTCGTTCTACAATGTTCTACAATTTGCGTCGTTCTACAAGCTTACTGGTATAGTCGAAAGCGTAGATAGAACACGAAATGAAAAAGACAAAAAACCATTACATCCCCTGTAAGGTCAACTTCTAACATTCGCTGCGATGTTCATGAACAGAGGATGATAGGAAACGGAAATAACATTCATTGAAATAGATTTTTGGTTTGCGTGTAGCAGTTAAATAACAGAACATCTTTTACTGAATTAATTTACAGTTTTATAACTTAGATTATGTAAATGTAGATTAGTCTTCAAGTGATTTTACGAATTTTTCACCATTATCTACAGAAAAAAGGTTGCTCTTGATCCGACGTTGCCAAATATTGGCAAATTAACAGTTTTATTATATCAGTCCGCATCGTGCTCTCTTGCTTTTTGGTGAAGGAAGTGTTACTGCTAACTAAAGCTACAACAAATTTAAACAGCACTTTTCAGTGCTCAATATACCTGTAAATTGTCTACCTCTTCGATCTTTGTTTGGACCCTACCCGAGGTAATCCTGCTTGGATATCGATTTGGAGAACTCCTCTTCGATCCTTCAGATTCTTATAGTCGATTTGGATAATTTTTTCACTGTCGCCATGGCACCTAAGAAAAGGGCAATCTCCTGATCCCCCTTCGGATGAAATTATTCTGAGCAATCAGTTTGATTTGCTCACGAATGATGAGAATGATCCGTAATCCAGGAAAAATTCTAGTAAATTTCCCAGGCTAAATGCCAAGAAGGAAAAGATTCCCCCTATTGTGATAACCACTTCCGATTTCCAAGCTCTTCGTACGGAACTTTTGAACTTCAAATTGGCCGTAGGGGTGTATGTTGTGTATTGGCTGAAACCTTGAACGGATTCAAACGTCTTCTTCAGTATCTTACTGAGAAGCAGCACAAAATTTTCGCTTACGACACCACAACTGAACGCCTGTTCAAGGTTGTCTTGAAAGGTGTGCTCAGTGGTGAATCCCTGGATCAGATCAAAGATGAATTGACTTAATTACTTGGAGTTGAGCCAGTCCAAGTAATCAAAATGAAAATGAAATTCCGTCCTGTCGATTCACGCAACGGGATTTCTAATGATTTATATTTAGTTCACTTCTAGTCTAGAGAACTATACAACCTTAAGGCCTTAGAAAAAGCTAGCCTTATGG